TTACTGAAACCTTGAATGTTTTTATCTTGATCAAAGAACACCAAACGCTATAACTGATGCATGCAACATTGCTCGACTATTGGAGAGATGAAATCTTCCTTTTTGTTATACAGCCTTGTGGAGAGTTTTTGTCACTCAGGGGCCTTTGCATAGATCTAAATATGAAACAGTTGAGGCTGTGTCACTATTTTATTTCAAGTTATTTCTAATGTATTCAAGTTCAAGTGGGCACATCAATGGAAGGGAATATAGGCTATTTGATGGTTATTGAACGATATTAGATGATCCATATACCTGAATGGCTAGTTAACCTTCTTGGCCAGATTACCTTGATCTTCGGTAACCCAGGCTTGTCGTAAGAGGCGACTAACGGGATCGGGTGGTCAGGCTCGCTGACATGGTTGACACATGCCATCGGTTCCCAATTGCGCAGATCGATGCTCATGTTGTTGATCACTGGATTGTCTGGTCCAGACTCGATTATTTACAGACAGCCGCCAAAAAGCTGGAATATTGCTGAGTGCGGCGTAAAACTAAACTCACTCACTCACACGGGGGTGAGCATGTCTCGTTTAATGAGCCGTCCAAGGTGATGCTACTCACTTCTAGTATATCTATCTGCAAATGATGTGCGACTGATATGACTATGTTGAAACAATAGTTAAGAATACAAACCACTGCCACTTTTACTCAGTTATAGAAGTTGATGGAGAGAATCCGTATGTAAGAACTGCTATGTAATAAAAAAATTGTGAAAAAGAATTATCAAGTTAATTCAACTAACGTGACTGAAATACGGATGTCTCTGTATGGTTTGTCTGTGAATACACTACTTTGGGGCAGTACAGCACACCTTGTCACTAGAAACTTTATTGAATAACCACCGTAAAGCGTTCACTGTGTAAATTAGAGGTCGACATGAAATCGTTCACTATGATGTTCTTTAATCGTTCACTAACTGTTTGATGGTGATGGTCTTTCGAGGATGAAAGCTCGAAAACGGTACAAAACTAAGCATTCAAATTTGGCACAAAGATATTTCGATAATTACTCTAAATGTTGGTGTATTCTGTTTTTGGTTCGTATATGTTGATGCATCTGTACGGAAACTTAGCCGAAGCTAGACATTGTTTTGCAGGCTCATGGGCTTGTATAATGACGGAATGGAAATATATTTGGTATGATTACGCACATTTGTCTTCTATTTTACAGCATGAAGGTTGGGGACAATGTGACATATACAAATATAGATATTGACAATTTTCCTACACCTAAAAAGTAAAACCTGCTCACCTCTCGCGTGATAAATTGTTCACTTTTATGCTATAAAATATTTTCTGCCGTTCACCGCCCCTACGGCGTGAGCATGGTGATCTACCTTCAGTTGTTGGCAATAAATAGCCCATTTTTACATTGTATACATAGTCCAAAATAGTTGTCTACATTTAAAGATATATGCTAGCTGTTTTAATCCATTTTATGATAATTTAGTCATTTTACTGTCCTTCGTTGACAGGGTTTTAGATTATGTGTATTTATCATGAATATAGAATTTGTTTTAGTCACGATATGTGACTTTTTTGCCGGTGTGACTTTAAATCTTAACTCACTCACTCATTCAAAGATTTTACGTAATGATATTTGCGTGTACGAATGTAATGGTTATGCTATTTGAGGCCTTGTCAGTGAATACATGTTCCTGATCTTGTACTGTATTGATGTATTGACACTTACACTTCCCGGTATCCTGTATCTAAACTTCAATCGGAACTTGCTGATGTAAGGGCCATCAGTTCATTCTACACCTATTATGTAGATAAGACACATATAATTGTAGTGAGTGAGTGAGTTTACTATTACGCCGCACTCAGCAATATTCCAGCTATATGGCGGCGGTCTGCAAATAATCGAGTCCGGACTCCGGACAGGAGAATCGCTTAGTATTTTACTGTCCTTCGATGACGGAGTTTTATCTTCTAAATTTATTGATTTTAATATTGATATAAATTAACTTGTTCTCGTCACGATATGGCTGAGATATTGCCGATGTGACGCTAAATATTAACTACCTCACTCACTCAGAACAGTTTGAATAATATGTACACTTTTCAGCAATAAATTATATTCCCTGCTTAATATTGAAGACAATGGTTGATAATTTGTCAGTGGTTACTACTTTCAATATATTCATATGTGAATTGTTATTAATACACATTATTAGTCTTTTTCTCTCTCAAATTGCAATGGGTAATGACTCTAAGAATCTATTTAATGCATTAGCAAAGTGTAAATAACTCATCTTCTATCTATCTGATATCTGAATATCAGTTGTTTGGAAAACTTACTATTTAACCTAATTATTTTATACAATTATACCATGAAAAATATACGAATAGATGTTTCCCATTTTTTTTGTTCATTTGGTTTTCATACGATGTCGTCCTATAATATACCTTAAAAAACAAAAGTGGTGAACTATATTTTTTCTCAACAGTTTTGTTAATTCTTTCCAACCGAAAATACCTGGCGTCAGTTATGCTGCTGAGGTAACAATATATTTAAAGGGAAAATGTTATAATTTGATGTCAACAGGGCACTGGAAACTATTTTACCTTTCTATTTTTCACTGGGTTTCTGAGAAATGGTATAATATGTTATTAGTCTACAGAACCTTCCATGCTTGTTGCTGTTTGCTGAGATGTCAGGAAATAAAATTTCCTCTACCATTATGAAACAAGAAATGCCAAGAACAGTTTTCTTTGAATATATAAATGTCACACCTTGAACAATGTTTCGTTCAGGTGTTGAAAGTGTTTAATACTTTGCGAAATAAAAATTGAGATCTGAACAAACTAGCCCCAAACAGGACAGCCAAATATCATTATGCAATATATTGCGGATCTCAATTTAGGGAAATAAAACCTACTTGCACCCGGTGCAACCTTTAGGTGATAACCTTGTTGCACGATACAAAACCCCCCTGCTCAATATAATTACATACTGCCGCCAGTTACCTGGGATATTGCTAAGTAGGACGTTCGAAAACAACCAGCAGATGAGTCAGACTTTCAGGTCAACAGAACATCTGTGAAAAGATCATCCAGAATTAGGAACTCTGCGAAAATGACTCCAGCATAGTCACCGCCTCTGAGCGTATGGCTGTATCTGTATAACAGGAGTCACTTTAAATAAGAAACGTTTGTTCGGATTCTTCAGGAGGGCAGACTGAAGTAGAGAACGTAAATTCTATTTGTGCTTCAGCAGGACGGTGCACGACTCTTTTCGTCGAAAGCTTTAACAAAACAGTGGTTGACAAAAAAGATGCAGAGATAATGATATATTCTACGGTTAGGATAAAATTGTTTAACAAACGATCATAGATTGAAATCGCTATTACTGGTTTGTATTACAATGGGGTAAGCGCAGTAGTTGGAACAGTGAAACAAATGCAGGTGCGGTACGTGAAGAGCGTTAACTTAGAACAACCCTTGTCGTTCTTGGTGTTTCATTTGATGTGCATACTTGCTTGTAATACAAACCAATAATATGCGATATTGAAATATGATCGTTTGTTAAACAACTTTATCTAAGTTGAATAAACTTCTGAAATTTCAATGTTCACTTGGCAAGGTAAAATTACGAGGATTCGCAGTCTTAATTTCACTTTATATGTTTTACTTTTTGGTTTTAATTGAAATTCATCGGTACGTTTTCGTTGCAAACAGACTATAGTCTGAATAACATAGGACATATTAAAGATCGCCACTAGAAATGTAACTAGCATGATAATCATAAACACATGGCTGTAAAAAACAAATTGTAACGTCGCCAGTTCACAGTTAATTCATAAAAAAGTTAAATATTTATTTTTTGAATTCTGTAATTCCTTTATGTGTATGAAGATCTGTTTGCCAACGAATTCTTGTCCGGTGCTATACATGAAGGTGTAGTTAGCTGGAATCGCTGGAACGCCTGTAAGACCATATAAGGAGTCTTGAAATAGCTGTGTACTACTAGGACCTGATGTATGTTTTTTGCTCTAAACAACTGAAATTGGGTACTGACCATTCGTCATGATCTGAAGTCTTTTGGTCTTGGTTAGAGTGAGTGAGTGAGTTTAGTTTACGCCGTTTTTAGCAATATTCCAGCAATACACGGGGTACACCAGAAATGGGATTCACACATTGTACCATGTGAGGAATAGGAGCCGGGTCTTCATCGTGACGAGCGAACGCTTTAACCACTAGGCTACCCTGCCACCCTTTGGTCTTATTTGGGAATGGCAAGGGTCACTGCACTGTTAAATAAGGGTATCAGCTGTTGGGTTAGTGTACATCCTACACTACAGTGTGTATGCTAACACCACCCCCACCCCCAAATAGATATCAAGAATTATTTGAGTGGGCTTTTTTGTTGTGAAGACACTACAAATTTGATCAAATATCCCTTAAATATTCTTCTGTATATTGCTAATCTTGGTTTCAAGCGTTAGGCCTCCTTGAAGTCATCAGGTAAAGGGTTTGGGTTCCCTAGCACTGCAATACCAGTGACTGCACACGCTGAATCTGACGTCAAATTCGTAATGACGTCACAGATATGGTTAAGTGAGTGAGTGAGTTTTTACGCCGCTTTAAGCGATATTTCTGCAATATCACGGTGGTCGACACCTAATATGGGCTTCACATATTGTACCCATGTGGAGAATCGAACCCTTTTCTTCGGCGTGACGTGCGAATGCTTTAACCACTAGACTACCCCATCGGCCCAGTAGGTTACTCAATGTAGTGCTAAACTTGACCAGTGTACCTGCTGGTGGGAATTAGCACAAATAAAGAAAGTGGACTGTAACTGACTTGAATCAAATTTGCCGGGGCTGCCAAGTTTTCAGAGCAAAGTCAACCTTTAAGACGAAAGGTTTGTTGTGCAAGGGAATGAGGAAGTCAATGAGGTTGTGAACTGCGTGAAATGTTAATATATGAAGATATATAACACAGAGTATATATTGTTAATAGTTTATTATGCTTAAAAAGCATAGGTACAATAAAATTACCGGCAGATGCCTTACGTGATATCGACAGGGTGCAAAGAACACGCAGGCAAAGCCATCTCTGACGGCCGTACGAAATGGGATGTATCTACAAACAGCTCACATGGGTTAGTAAAGTGCACCATCACCATATTCACACTTACAGCACGCATCACTTGAGTGTTTTGAACATATATGAATTCACAATGCATTATAGACTCAATTTTCATAATTGTCCAATTCCCCAAATGCAATAATTTATAATTAAATTTGATTGCAATACGTGCTGTCTTTGCATTGCCTCTACATAAACTATCAATGCATATTTCAACAGGTGCACCTATTAAAAGCTTCGCAACATAGGCGCTAGAAAGAAAAAATACAAAATCTGTCAACTTTGAAAATACGAATGTAAATCCTGCATTTTAGTTTCGGACAATGGATACCTTTCGCCGCCATTAGCTGCTCGGAGTTTAATTGCATGTCTGCGCTCAACAGATCAAACCTGGGCACAACATAGGTATTAACACTTCAAGTTAACGGTTAACAAGCCAATGAATGCAACTTGTAAACAACGTGCCAATTATGAGATCATTCGAATAACAACACAGAAATGACTTGTAACACATACATTGGGTGTAGGGAAAAAGATTCGACTACCAAATTTGGAGTAAAGTTTTTCAGATGTTCAGTGAAACGTTGAGATATATATTCATGAAGACACGTATTATGCAACTGCGGAAAGATCGTGGAAGAAAGGTTTAAGAAGAAATGACATCACTTTCTCTGAGGCAATGTCCAAGTGAACCAACCACCATTTTACAAGCGTCCCTTTTCCCAAGTCTCGGGGCTGTTTGTTACCCTAGGCGAAACTGCCATTGCAAGGAGAGAGATTCTATGAGAGGGCATCTTCAATTTAGCAAATCTCCACATGAACGACCCTAGTGATGAGGATGAAGACGTGTCCCGCTGCTTCTTGAAGGTAATCCATTGTGGTAACAATTCCGTATAATTGTTTCCTGGAGGAGTTTCTTGGTACTTTCACTATGGCGCTTCCCAAACACTGATCACAAAGAAGGTTTTGTTTTAAATTGTGCCTCAATGAACCCATAGTGAGGCTGATGTCACGCTGTACCTTAAATATTTTTAATTAAAATTTGTAATTGTCCGTCAATCAAGACAGTAATCGTAATGGCAACACCAAGAACGTGTTTGTGGTGTATTTGTCTGAATCAGAGTTACCTCCCATACATCTATTCTACATATGATATGCTGCCTAAACACGACTGTATTTCTCTTTAAATGCATAAGGCTAGATGAAAACAATATCATATAAAGGTAAATATTATGAAAAATAGTTTGCAAAAAGTATATAAGATGTGTTCTTTGAAAATCTTTAATATATTACAAACAGATCTGATACACCAAGACAGGCCTGAGATACAATGAAAGCAGAGTTATCTACCCTTTTTAAACAAAGAATTTGAATCCATTGATGTACAAGGGTACATTGTGTGAATGGTCAGTTTCACAACCAGAATATAACCATCCAATCGATACAGTAGCACCACATAAAGCATTGAACTGAAAGACGTAAACACAAGCGCTGTTAGATTATTTTCATACGCTTTTCTAAACTTCAAAAAAACATTTTTTTTAAAACTATTCAACATAAAAATTGTTCAAGAGAGTATTGTCATAAATATGGTTGATATACAAGCATGAAAATTAAATACGTCCACAATGATACTAAAAAATGTGATATTAACATACATTTTTTAAAAACAGTTCTGGACTGAAACAATTGAAATCTTTAGCTATATTCTAAGTCAATATAAACAGCGGATAGGTGGCTTGGGCTGTCAACGCCCACAGATTAGACCGGTGCGCCCTCTGGTGGCGTGACATGGCAGTGCTTGGGGACGTTTAGGAGTAGTTGGTCTTCTGGATGTGGCAGGCCTTCTCCTACAAAAAATGCATTGGAGAGAATTTCAAAGGGCGGAATGAACATAAGTTTCGACATTGACTAAGGGGTAACGAGGAAATAGCAAAAAGGTTCCCATTGTGGTTGATAATGTCCCTATATATATGTGTATGATATAGAGGTAATATAATTTACAAAACACCGTTGTGTCGAACTTTGATGTGTCGAACCTACGGTTGTGTCGAAGTGAAAAGCAATTCCTCATTTAGACTTTTAGTGGGTGTGTCAAACTTAGGATAACTCGAAGTATTTGCTATGTGTCCTTCACCTTTCAAGCAAAGATGCTTTACTGAAGGTGTAAGCAGCGTCGATGAGTTATCTCATTACCCAATTATCGTAATATCGTTCATACTGTCAACCACTCGTTTACGTACCTCGTTCTTGTTATTGAGGAGGGTGGTGGTGATGTTGGAGCCGGTTCCCCAGGAGTCGGCGTCGCGGAACACCAGGTCGTTCAAGCCGGCACTCGTCGAGGATCCTTTGGCCCAGATCTGCAAGAAAACGTAGCACTGTTAAATATATACTGGTTATATAACATGATGTTGACATGGTAACAACGTAAACAGGTGCAATTAGGTCATAAATGTTCGGTCATGAATAGATCGCTCTCTTTTTAATATTCATTCAAATAGAAGGTAAATTCATTGCACAGTATAAATCTCAGTAAAACTAATGTTTTCTCTATGAACGTACAATATTTGTGATTCTTTTGAGGAAGGCAGCTATATTGGTTATAATAATAATAAAAAAAATAGCAGGATAAGGTATCCAAAAATATATGGATTACCAGGCAGTGTAAAACTAAGGATAAGAAAAAAAAATCTTCATTCCCGGCACGTCACGCTGACAAATAGGGCTTGTAAGTCTTGCGAGGCGGTACTTCCGGTACTAAGCTGGTTGCCGGCTCCCTTTACGCGCGCCAACTTGCGACATGCGAGACTGGGCCCAGCTTACTTTCGGTACCAGATTTCCGGTGTCAAGCGTATATTCAAGAACCAGTTCTGATTCCAAATTGCGCGACCGCCAAATATGACTTTACTAGAACGGACCAAGTGCTTGGCTGTCACAACTGTTGACAGTCGTAATGGTTGGCTAATTTGGGGATGGTTAGATCGGACATTTGTTATTCCTGCAAGGGTTATCGGTTCCTTGAAAACGTTTGTCACCGGAAGTACTAATGTCTCGCGAAGTGCCGTGACCTACATACGGGCCCTATTCCATATGGTTACAGTCAGCAGAAAGAGGACCTTTTTTAACCACATAGTGGATGTTGTCAACAGCAACAGACGTTACCAACGCGGCCCTCACCTTGACCTGTTTCCCGGCCTTCAGTGAATAGTTTCTGAAGGTGTATGACAGTTTTCTCTTGGAGTCCAAGTCCCTCTCAAGTCTGTAGCTGTCGAGGTCGACATCCTGCAAAACCCCCAAAACATTTCGGTATTTTGCTTCATAAAAATGCTCCCAAAGGTATTCATGGTCCCAAACATTTTCGTTTTGACAGGTAATGGTAACCCGTCAACTACATTTTTTACAAATGGGCTAGGATGCTTACTGGCGACATCAGAATATCATATACCCCTTATTTCCACAATGCATTTTTATGAATATGTGCAACAAGTCTTGGCATATCTTCTGTAGTAGTACTTGTTTTAAATGAAACATTTATTTGTACTCAAAATCTCTTCATACGTCTTTTGCATTGGTAAAATCTGGTATGAAACATTCACTCCTTTTTCAAACTTATCGACTCCAAAATCATGACATCTGAAATGATGGCAAATTTATAGGAGACAGTTAGTTGGAACACAGAAAGTTTGTATTTACCCTGCGTGATGTTCCTGACGATGTGTTCTCGAGGACGATGAACTTGCCCTCAGGGTCTACGGAGGCGACTACGACTGGTCCAGTGGAGGTGCGCTGATACGTCGTCTTGGCCGACACTTCACCTCGCATCATCTTCATCGACACTTGGGATGCATCTCCTGGTAACGACAACGTCCACAATGTAGTCAGATGGTTAACGTTAACCCCCAAAAAACCCAACGGAAAACAAATCATCTTATAATATAACCTTTTTATCATTAATGTACATGCAACAAAAATACATTTTAAAATCAAACATAACTTAATTGCTTTATGTTATCATATATGGTTACAATTCATTTAATTTATTCTTTATACTTGTTTTACTTTAAAACATAGCTTTTATGTTGTACGTCACAGAATAATTAATTGACAAAACAATTATGAATAAATGGTTAGGTCAATGCAATACTCACCAAAGTATATCTATAACTATCCTTGTTAAAATGCGAGATTGTAAATATAGTTGCTGTGATTAATGTTTAACATGAATAAATGGTTAATAAAACCCATAACTGTTTCATTAATAAACAAGAGGAAGGAATATATCAATGGGTTCATTGTAAGGGTTAGGTAGGTAGCAGGCTTGGGATGATTTGGGAGAAAGTTGGAAAATGTGTTGAAGATTTTGACATTTCTCCCACCTTTTAATGCGCTAAGGAGTCACAGTCTGATTTTTGAATAGAGCTTTAAAGGACCAGAATACTCTTGGAAATGAAATACCTTCCAAGATATGGTCATTGTGTTATACATGTGTTAAATTCTCCAAAGAGCATGCGTTACCAACATGATACTTTTAACAAAGTGTACTTGCGAACAATGAAGATATGATATGCTACCTTGATGCCATGTATGACACTTCATTCTCACCCAGACGAATACCACCATACCAGCAAATGACAAATTTAACTAGGACGTGTTTCTTCATACAGCAGGGCTCTGTATCGCTTAAAAGAAGAAAAGAACCTACTGATACTGAGTCTAGAAGCCATATACAATCGAGACATCGAGAGTTCGAGACATCGATAGTTCGAGATATTGAGAGTTCGAGATATCGAGAATTCGAGTTGACGAGATGTCACTACAGCAGCTATAGCGTATATACTATTAAAGAAGTTAACACCTTCTTTCCATTTGACTAAAGTTAACCTGTCATGCTATCACAGAATAACGGACACCCGGTGTTTTACATGGAATGACAGATTAACTATAATCATAGGAAACAAATCGGGTTCCTTATCTTCTTTTGAGTAGTATAGTCGAGATGTCATTTGTTTGTATGGTGTCCATGTTCGTTCATCGTATCGATAAATCGATAAATCGCTGTTAGAAACGGTGTTTCTAAGAGCGTCTCATCGTCATCCCTCTGTGAAATAACGCTTATGTTAGATGTGTTAGTTTATTTGAATCGCTGCTTACAGAAGCTCCCTAGATCGCAGCAATCTACGGGGTTATTGCCATGGAAACCATATCGACAACAAGGAGTTAACTCAGACGTTACAGGCGAAGTTGTATTTTTAATGATGTTATCACCGGATCTACTAAATCTAAGGAGAGAAGAAGAAGAAGAAGATGATGATGATACAGCGATCGAATGGCAGTGTATGAGAAAATTGTGCCATTGGTTTTCAGTAGTCACTAACCATACGTGCGACACATGTCCGAGGAATAATGTGATATTCTTAATCGTAATGTGCCACAAAAGGCGATGTAAAATAAACAAAATCCAAAACGGGTGATGAGGAGGGTAGAAGTGATGCAAAAATGTAAAGATTTTCCTTGAGTATTATAAGAATAATGGTACATCACAGATGAGTTATGCATATGAGCTCAATAGAGCTTATCACAACGAAGCATATAACAATAAACACATCGACTAGCTATAACATATGATCAGCTATCATACACCACGATAAATACTACTAACGTCTTTCATTAAGCGAGAAGGTGGCAAGAGGTACATATTCCGCTAGGGCTTCTGAGATCATGAAACTGACAGGGAAAAATTGGCACATTAGAAAAAAATGCTGGCTTCATTAGAAGCAAAAGCAAAGTCTCTAGGAACTTCTACTTGGTGGATAAATTGGAAGCAAGATATCAAGAAATGCCCATGCACAGTTATCTATCCCACAATCCTTAGATTAGACATGCGTAAAGGACGTTTCCGTTTGTTAGTTGCGCATAAGCGCATGTTAATCTTCCTCCAGCGGTTCTCTAATACGCACCCCCAACTTCAAATTGTCCAGACTGGGCAGCGTTGATATAGTCTACGAGTCGGGAAGAACTATCACTTTGAACGTTCATAACTTGCTCGACGACTTGCCGTAAACCGACTCTGTGAGACAAAGGTCAAAAGTCAATGGTCAAAAGTCAACGATATGTCAGTATTAGAAGAGGAATGTTTGTTAGTACTGTGGGCACAGCGTCACACTGGGACACGACTCGTGGTTTGGTTTTACGACGACACGGTCTGCTCACTACCAGATTTCTCTTCCTCCATTTTGGTTTTAACCTCTTCCTCCTTCCCTGATTGGCCTGCTGACTGGCTCGACATAGAACTAGCACTGGAAAAAAAATCCATCTTTCCAAGCTTGGAAATGTCTTGGAAAGATGATGTTTCCAAGACATTTCCAATTTTGGAAAGATGATGTTTCCAAGACTTTCCAATTTTGGAAAGATGATGTTTCCAAAAATTTCCAATCTTGGAAATATCCGCAAGGGGAGATAACTGGTGGGTGATGGTAAATTATTGTTCTGCATGGGCTAATTGGAATAGTGGCATGGGGCGGCATGAGTGTTTCATGGGGTCGTTAAGGCGACTGGCGGTAGTCTTTGATGTTTGGTGTTGTTTTAGTAATGATTGTTTAAGGGGTTAACGAAAGGATTATCGACTTGACTAGTCGAAATTGCAGTGGTGAACACATTTTAAATGTTCAATGTTTTGGGTGAAAAGTGAATTTTGTCACGTTTAGTTTAAGTATGTGTCATCGGAAGCTTATATCTAGTGAGTGAGAGTTAATTTCGTACAAGGGCCACCGACCCGTTATACAATTATGAAGATAACAATACAATCCAGCGCCATATATAATATTAAGCTGTATGCTAACATGTACAATGTCTCATTTAACCTTATACTCTATATTCGACAACTTTGCCCTTTTTGTCAATGCAAGAAATATAAACTTAGCAAGATTGTTAACAGTTGTAGAATTGCAAGACAATAATAAGTTGATAAATTTAGTTTCACATGGATTATTTATGTAGTATTGTTGTAGCAGGCTGTTTCTCAGATCACAGTAAAATGAACATTCAATAAAGAATTGGTAATCTGATTCAATGGTAAGTACAATACACAGAGGGCAGAATCGCTCATGTTGTTTTATATTTACTTTTCGCCCATATTCCAACATTAAAGGATGGTCTGAACAACGAAACTTACTCGAGGCAAAACGAATCGTTGCGTTGCCATCAATCGTTGCGTTGCCCTCCTAGGGGGTCGAGTGATGGTGTCACCATGCACTAATTTCCACCGGACCCGCAGTTCGTGCTAAATGGGTTATGTTTGTGAGTGCAGAAGCGAAGCGTTGTGGAAGTTTGGAACGATATCTTAAATGTGTTCAGATCGCTTCGCGGAAGTTAAAGAATCAAAACAACCTACTAGTTGTAGTACAATAAATATATGATTGATGACCAAAAAGATTTCCCATGACACAACTTGAAGCATAACGATTTCTTTCTCGGAAGCGAGGTTGTGGTGGAAGTGGCAATAATATTGTAAGTAGTATTATATTGACACCCACCTCGCTTCCACGAGAGAAATTGTTATGTTATAAGATATGTCATGCAAAATCTATTGACATCAATCAAATACAGATTTTACTACCAGTAGAAAGTAGTTTTGATTTTGTAACTCGGTGAAAACAAACCTAAATAGCATTTATTCTCAGACTGGCGGATGTTTTTTAATAATCGTAACATCACGGGCTAAAGTCTGTTAAAGAATTAATGAGATTATGGTTTGTTTTCATCAAGTTAGAAAATCGAAACTACTTTCTACTCGTAGTTAAATATGTATTTGAATCATAACCAACAGGTTGGCATGACACAACTTGTAACATAACGATTTCTTCCTCGGAAGCGAGGTGGGGTCGAAGTGACAATACTGCCCAATAAATTTCTTGCTACATTCACGTGGTAAACGTCCACTCACCAGTATGTAGATACTAGTCAACGTGCGTCTATATATTTGGTCTTATTATCCTAATTAGTTTATTATCATACTTGTATGCATTTTGAAACTAAATAAAAATCAGGCGATCTGCCTATACTTATAACTGGAATATCTAGACATTTTATAGTTTGCCAATGTAAATCATAATTCGCACACACCCTAGTGTATGTTGTCTGTCTCATTACTTCACGACGAAAACAATGATTCTGTGGAATGCTACGAAAAATGAAAAAACAACAAAATGCAATTATTAAAATTAAAACAGATTAGAGTTATAAGAACAATGTCAGGCGATTACTTTGTTCAAGGAATGTGTCCATCAATATCCACAAAAATGAGTGATATACCATTCACCTGCAGCTGTTCCAAATGATGTGTCTTTTAACAGTCTAATACATGTTTACGAAAAGTGATATATCGTTTCAGGTATTTCACATTGGTATATAGTCTCATTGGTCCAAAAGATAGCATACCTGGGAACTAATTGCATAATGTCCGCCATTCTTTACAAAAAAGTAATTTAGTTAGCCAATAATGAGAATCAATGTCTTGGCGGTTAATCCTTTGAAAGAAGGAAGTTGTTTTACGCAGACACAGACACGACAGAGTGTATTCAGTATAGATTAGTAAATGTACATACATAAACACTACCTTTGGACAAATCCGCTGTGCAAGATAAAAGTATGGGTTAATCATTTGATCGATGTTTATAATGTTGAGTATTTACTCCAGACACAAGAAATGCAAAATGGGAACCTTTGTCGGGTAATCTAAGTGGTGTTACCACTGACTATACCTGTTATAAATTCATTAACTGACCGTCAAGTGAATGATGACATGTGTAGGTTTAAACCACCTAACACGGGTTAAAACAAGGGAGTATTAATTGCTGTATTGCATGTGAAAACCTATGGGCCGACACTATTTTGAGAATACGGACAGAACTTCATTGTTTCATAAAATACATATAAGCATTTGCTGCGTGCTAAAACTGTGTTACCTATTTACCTAAGTAAATTTTCAGAGTCTTCTAGCAATAGCAAAGTGCAAGGATGTGTTAAAAAGGAGAAACGCAGTCAAACAGTTGCTGTTCGAATTGCATGAAATATGCAAGAAGCATGACATATTCAAGAACAATGTTTCCAATTTTGGAAATATGAGATTTCCAAAAATGCACAATTTTGGAAATGTCCACAAGGGGAGATAACTGGTGGGTGATGGTAAATTATTGTTCTTTGCACGCCCCAGGACCCTAATCCTTGTTGATTGATGAGTGAGTCAAGGCAGTTAAGAGTCACCAATTAACAAGGCCTACTTAATTAACACGTTTTTATGCCTCCTAAAGAAGCGTCTGGAAGTAAGTTAAATCTTTGATGGGCATTAAGAAGCGGAATGCATTACTGTGATCTGATTTTCACCTGATGAAGGAGCAAGCATACACTCCGAAACTTCGTGTTATTCACAATAAAGAAGTTGACATCAATAAATCTTGTTTTTCTTATTAAAAAGGTAAGTTATTAAAATCTGCTGAGCTGTAGTTTTGTTAATCATGTCGCGATGTGATTATCGCTCTAACACACCTGAGAGATTCGTCAACAGTGTGGTATGCACAGGCGGTGAAAATTGTATTGTATTACATTGGGTTGGTTGCATATTGTTTTGTGTTATGCTGTCAGTTTGTATGTATGTGTGAATGAGGAACCTCACATATTATGACATTGAAAACAGACTAAACTTAACATTATTCCATGGTTAATATCGCAATGTTTGTGAAAAGGTAGTATACGGAAGTTTGTTTCACATTTAATAATAATAACCTTCTTTTATGCAGATAAAATTATTAAAAAAATGAACGAATAATGCCATGCTTCTCTCAGAGTAAGGGAAGATAATTTATAGAGTGATTCGTATCAAATTAGATATTTCTTTATCGTCCGAACAGAATTCACAAATTACGGATGTTTTGTGTGGGTGTACGTGCATGCACGCGTGTATAACATCTAACTTGATAGGTATTAATTAAAATCAGGCTGATTGTAACCATAATAACTATATTGGTTGGAACACTCCAAGAACAAAAAATAATTTCACCCTTCAAAAGGAACTGGAACAGTAACATTTTTCATGTTTTCATATGAGCTTCAAAACATTGAATGAAATAAATGCTGTATGATGAAATGGATCAGAGAACATTAGAATGGCATACATGACGTGTGAATGACACATGTAATGGTCAAAAATATATAATCACTATGTTAGTTAACTCATGACCAGACACGTCAAACTGGTACCGATAGATTTATATCTAATATGTAAAAATTCAGTATTTCTTAGAACCTGAAATAGAAAACACGACTTTGGAATGAGATGTTTTAATCTGAGATGAATCTGTTAGGTAGCAGTCTACTTAAGTAGAACTTAAATCAACTTCAAAAGATTGGTCATTCGCAAAGTGAAGCAGATTTCACTTATACTGCAGTAAACAGTATGGGGATACACAACGAAACATACCACTTATGTGATAACAACTCCATGTTTATTGCATAGAGCGGCATTCCGATGTACAACGTTCAGGATAGACAAGCTGATTGAATGTTGATTGATTCCATCACTTGGACAAAGGTGGATTTAGACTTGTTGATCTTACTCTCCTGTTGGCCCCAACGATGTGCTAGTTGCTGAATTACCTGGTGTTAATTTGCTGCTAGTCACTATGCATATATACTTCTGTTCACCTGGTTGTAGTAACTGTTATCTTGATAACGGCGTGAGAATATACATGGAAACTCCCCTTTATCGACGTTTGGTCCAAACAGATGAGTTAAGAGAAATGTTGATGTCCCGTCCGTTAGCAAATTAACATGGATTATAGAGACAATGATAGGCCTACGTGTTGATAGAAGAGGATATTCCGGATTATGCGAATGAGAGCACACCTAATGAGAAAAAACGAGCCAAATATATGTATAACGATAGTGTTTCATTTCAGTCTCAGCATATAAACATTGAAATATAAAACACATAAAAAACATAGAAGGCGTAAGCCACGAGTGGTAACGGGAGACTATATGGACAGATTTTATTTAATCATGTTACAACATGCTACATCTTACAGGAATTATAAATAGTTATATTACATCACATTATGAAATGTTTCAAAATATTACATAATTATAAATATACATACACATTTATAAGTACATTATAAATATATTAAAGATGTAAAAGAAGAGACGCTGAATCAGCAAACTGTCTAACAGTTAGCATTCCATTTTGAAACTGGTGTCTCAGTTCTTGAAGATGTCGTTCCAGGTATCGGTATTTCTT